TTATTTGAGCAGCGAATCAACATATTAGAATGATTTCTGAAGGATCATGTGACACCGAATGGCTAATGAAAATTGAGCTTTGCCATCATAAAAAATTAATTACATTTTTTTTTTAATATATGACTTAATTTAAATTGTTATAATATTTCACAGTTTTTACTGTATTTTGATCAAATAAATGAAGTTGTGGTGAGAATAAGACACTTATTTCAAAAACATTTAAAAAATTGTATCGACTACAAACTTTTGAACGACTGAATATCTTGTGCAATTTTGCCTTTCAAGTATAAAGTTTACTTTTCTTACCCCACTGGCAAAATTTTCTTTTTTTTAATCCTAATATTCATAAAAGCTCATTCATATTTGTCAGATTCATGCTTAAAAGAATGTTTTTAAACATGAGAGTCTTTTGAAGGCTTATAAATAATTCATAATAATGGTTTGAGGGACAAATCTGATCTATTTCATTACCAGTTCATATTTGATTTTGGTGATAATGTTTATTGATCCTCTAGCCAAGAGGGTGAATTGTTTTATTGTATTTTTGCATTGGGGCATGTGTTCAGTAAATGTAATGTTTCCTCTGAGTCTAATTATGAGACATTTTCTCCGATAATGATTATTAACTTCAATTTAAAGTGCCAAAGTCACTTTGAAAATCTTTTTTTTTTTTTTTGTGCATCACTGATAAAGGTTTGAATATAGAAACTCAGAATGTACAGATATGCCACTTGTGATTTTTTTTTTTTCACAGTATTTGGTTTTTGTTTATTACAAATTACATAATTGGAGTAAAAAGTTGAATTGAAAAATAAACAAGTGAAGCACAACATCAGGTTTTGCTCAGTGTTGTTACATTTGTTAAAAGGTGTTCGGAATGTCCGTTTAAAGCGTCTAAATTTCTCACAAGCCCAAAACAGATTATGATTCAGAGGCTTCGATGTAGAGATTCTGTTGATCCGCAGATCAGATGAGAATATCGATTGATGTCTGTGAGAGCGAATGGTGAAATTTAGATTCCTGCAGAGCAAATGAAAGCGGAATGAGCAGTGAATGCACATCAGTCATTACGGCCTTATCAGAGTAATAGTGTCATTATGAGAGTAATAGTCTGTTTCAGTGGGATCAGCAGAGAGGGCAGGCGTATAAAGGGCCATTTAATGTTCTACTCTCCCTTTCTCTTCTTGTTCACTTTCTCTGGATTTTGTCTCTGTATTATTAGCTGTAGGATATAGTGGGGATGGTGTGTCGAACTGGTAAGGGCTCAGTAACCACAAGATGCAAGCCATGAACCTGCAGCTTTTTTACCCAATAGCAAGACAGTTGAGTCCAAGTGCCTCTGTAATATGTTTGTGACAGGTGTCAAAGTCGTGGAAACAAAAGTTCTCTTCTTTCTTGAGCTGTGTGGAGCAGTGTGCATGTTGTACAAACATAATTCTTAAGTACACTTTCAATAATGTCTTGCTGGATATGCACAAACATAGAGTGGCCCCAAAAAGTATTTGAACACTTGTAAATGTAAATGTAAAAATATCAATATATCAAGTGTCATTTGCAAACTAAGTTATGTATTATTATAATAAAAAACAGTAACACAAAAAACAATTGAAAGAAGAAAAAAATTGAAAAGTCTTTGCTAACCAAGTCTGCATTTATTTGATTAAACGGTAATATTGTGAAATATTATTACAGTTTAAAATAAATGAAAGGTATTTTAATTTAAATATGTTTGAAAATGTAATTTATTCCTGATGGCAAAGCTGAATTGTCAGCATCCATTACATAATTTTTTTATTAAATTAATTAAATAAATCATTTTGTTGTGTTGCTTGATATTTTTGTGCAAACGTTATACTTTTTTTTTTTTTCAGAATTCTTTTATGAATAGAAAATTCAAAAGAACAGCATTTATTTGAAAGCTAAATCTTTTGTAACGTTATAAATGTTTTTACTGTCACTTTTGTATGTAATGTGTACCTGCTGAATAAAAATATTAATTTATTTATCTTTATCTTATGAGAGTATATCACGGTTTCCACAAAAATATTACTTGCCAAAATTGTTTTAAATATATATATACATTTATGTATAGTATATATACTGTACAACAAGCATTATTATAATTATATGCAATATGCAACATATAATTAAGCCTAACAAACTTTTATTTTTATTTTATTGTTTTGTTTGTGTGTGAAATGTTTTGTTTGAATAGAGTGCTGATCAGATCTGTTTGGATCCTATTCATTCATGAAATATTCTACTGGGGCTCTATAATACTATATGAATTGTTGTTCTATCAAGAATTATTGCCTGTTGGTGAAATAATGGAAACAAAAAGAATTCCTGCATATCATATGGGGGTATACTAAGGTGAATGATAAAGGGTTGTTTGTCTTTTCCAGAATGAAATGAATCTCTTTAACAAAGGTTACACAGCATATGGTTAAATGTGGCCCATTACTTTACACAGAGGAAATGTTCTGTCGTTCTGCGAGGCAGATAAGGATTGCCGCCATCGCTGCGCAGTGGGATTAAAAACATTAGCAGTCTTGCTCAAGGTCACCACGCACCGAGCGCTCGTTCCTTCAGTCATACTTTCACAGCGAGATGATGTATGAACAGCGGCGCTGAACGCTTCCAGGCAAACACAACTCTAATTAAAGTGGTGCAATAGCAAAGTGTGATAATGTAGGAGAAAGGAGGTCAGGAGGAAAGAGAGAGAACAGAGGAAAACAAACAAGAGCACATGTAAACTGTCTGTTGGGTTTGATTCAGCTGTGCTGAATTTTTTATGACTCTACACGCACCAGAGTCTTAACGTTTACCGTCTCAATGTAGCTGCAGTGTTTTACTTTGTTAAAACATCAGGTTTTAAGGAATAGCTTGGCCCAAAATTAAATTACTCATCTTCATGTCTTTCGCAAAGCGCATGACCTTTTTTGCTTCCATAGAACAGATTTTTGACAGAATGTTCAAGCTGCTCAATTCAGTACAGTGAAAGTGAATGGTGACTACAGATTTTCAACAAATTTTCTTCAGTGAATTATATTTCGTTTTTTTCACACACAAAGATATTGGATGACTTGAAGACTTGGACTATAGCACTTCAGTCATATGAAATGATCATATGATGCTTTTATGTTTTGTTTTGGGGTTTTTTCCCCAGCCTTTTTCAAGTTTCATTTCTCTCTATTTGAAAAAGAGCAGCATGAACATTCTTCAAAACATCTCCTTTGTGTTTCACAAGAACAAATAAAACTGAAATGACAAGGGTGACCTATTCCTTTAAAATCCTAAAAATGTTCTTCATTGAGTTTTTTTTTTAATGATTTTGTGTTGTTTTCTTACTAAAATGTCTAATGCGTATTACATGTTCTGTTCATTTTCAGAGAATCTATTGGATGACTTCCTGCTGACGTACCCTGTGTTCATGTCCACCAGTGACCTGTGCCAAGCACTACTCGGTCAATATCCTTCTCATCATATGCTTCATTGCTGATGTTGTTTAATATAATAGCTGCCTGCTTACATTTGTAAAGGTGAACTGTGTTTACAATACAATATAAAAAACAATTTAAATATTTAGTAATATTTTTTTAAAAGTAGTCTCTTATGCTAACCAAGATTGCATTGATTTGATCAAAAATACAGTAAAAACTGTAATATTGCAAAATATTAATACAATTTTGTAATTTTTTATATATTTAAAAATGGTTTATTTCTGTTATGCAAAGCTGACTTTTCAGCAGTTTTTGCAATAAAAGTTTTTGTTTACATAATATATGTATGTGTACTGTGTATATTTATTGTGTATATATAAATACACACACATACAGTATATTTAGAAACACACACACACAATTTTTTGTTTGGAAGTATAAATGTAGGCACAGGTAATCTTCATCTACAAAAATAAATTCAAGACTTTAAGCATAAGACCTTAAGTGTACAGTGACGTGTAGTGTATCTAGTCATCATGTATTGTAAATTATTATATATTGTGTATTATATATTGCGTGTCCTCTGTCATGGATTCTCTATAAAGTAATGTGAGATGATCTGAGACCCCCATGAAACAATAAGCAATTCGTGGAACTGTACTGTGACCATGCAGAACTATGTTATACATGTTCTTTTACACGATCTTAACAACGCGACCTATCTGGTGTTAAACCACTTAACAAATTCCACGCCGTTTAGCCGAGGGCATGCAATTAATTCACTGTTACTGAACCCCTGTTAATTTAATACAGAGAATTCAGCCGCAGGCGTTTCCTCCTTCCTCTGAACTGTGTATCTGAGCGGTCTAGTGTGCTGGAATAGATTTGATGCCTTAACTGCTCCTGGTCCACCTATTGTTCAAAGAAAGGCAGGGTGAAAGAGCAGGGGAGAGACACTCTGCTTAGGAAACGAAAAGTGCTGCACCTGCTGTCCCAGTGGAGCTCGCTGTGCGCAGACCTGCCGCGGGACGACGAGCACGCCAAACTATTCCTCAAGGTACGGATGGAGAGAAGGGAGGGAGTTATTTTTGGAAATACAAAAATGCCACCAACCCTACTGCTCTTGATTCCTTAATGCCACATAATGAGGACAATATCGTGAGATTATTGCTGGCTTCAGAGGATTTTTAAATGCCATCAGACATTTTCATTTTCATAAGCTGCATGTGATTGTGAACATGTATCTCGGTGAAATGGTGCACACCGGTCCGGTTTACATTTCCCATTTACAACCTGAAATGTCAATCTTGTGTTCATTTCACATTTGCAGACTCTGTACAGATATTATGATGAGTACATCAACTAAACTGAAGACTTATTGACGGGAGAATGTGGTGTGTCTCGCGATTAATCGCATCCAAAATAAAAGTTTTTGTTTACATAATATATGAATGTGTACTGTGTATATTTATTGTGTATATATAAATACACACACATACAGTATATTTAGAAAATATTTACATGTGTATATACATTTATATTCTTATATTTTGAGTTTCCCTCGCTGGAGAAGGATCTGAAAGAACTTCAGAAACTTCTACGGATGCAAAGGAGACAGTGAGTCACCTCATCACCACAGCTGATGTTACACACTGAGTTTGATTAGGCTTAAACGATCCATTTCATGTTCATAACTGATTTCTGGGAAGCTCGTTGTTATGGTAGATATTTTAAGATGCATTATATTCGCACAATCACGTCCTTTATTCACCCTCCTAAAAACAAAATGAGAGCCAGCAAAAGACAAGAGCGATGCTCTATAAACTCTCATCTACATTTTGAATAAATCAAGCCGGAGAAGATTTTATCCATGCAGCCATTTTTCCAGCCCAACTTGACATGGTTTTCCTCGACTTCCTCCCTTTGTGTGTTCCCTGGGAGACATGATGAGAAATAGAGTAACAGAGAGATGATAGCGGAGTGAAATGATGTTACACAGAAGCTCTGCTGTGTGTGATTCTCGTCCCACAGTCTGTTGACAGTTGAAACCCTCATCAGTCAGTCCCGGATGACAGAGATTCTGCTGTGGGTGATAACCGAGCTTTCATTTGTTGAAAAGGATTTAAAAGACTTGGGCTTCTTTTGAATTTCTCTCATAATAAATTGACTGCAACTAGCCGATTCATCCAAGGATCTACAAAATGCACACTATTTTACATCAGAAGGCAAAGACACACAATCTTTGACAGCAATAATGACAAAATTTAGCACTAAGTACCGCCTTTGCCCCTTTTTTTAAATTGAATGCGGCTACCATACTTCTAAAATTATTATATTATAAAATTATTGTAATCATTTTTAAATATTTTATATTTGCTTATTTTAGAGCTGCACTTTTACAATAAAAAGTATGCCAATCACTGGCTGTCAGCTTATTGTAATATTATAGTATACATTTTAAATTCTATTATTATTATTAAATTTGATTTTACAGTAAATCATTGCTGATTAGTACCAGGTTTAGTTATTAGTTGTGTTGTAATACTAATATAGAGGTGTGTGTGTGTGTTTGTGTGTGTGTGTTTTTCTTTCTTATGTTGAACATAAAAGAAGATATTCCTTTAATTACTGTAATTACTTTTCTCTTGAAAAAGTAAAATAAGGAAATACTCTTAATTTTACTGTCATGTAATTACAGTTAATTCTACTGTACTTGCATTAAATACTGTATAGACTGTAGAGCAATTATATATAAAACTATAGTAGATTTAACATCAAAATCTAACATCTAATGTTAAAATGTATGTTTTTTTAATGTAACCTTCTCCCTTTAAATACTTTGGTCAATTCAAGAATAATTTATGCAGCTTTATGCTATTAATTTGAAAGAATTAAAAGAGCAGTTTCGTGTCTGTCCTTGTATTGCTCAAATGGTCAAGGTTGATATGGTATTTAGAAAGTAATTAGTAATAAGTAATGCAATACTTATTAAAGAGAGTAATTAGTACAGTAATCTAATTACACTGTTGGAGATGTACTAGTATTTAATTATTTTTTTAGAGTAACTAACTCAACACTGTATGTGTGTGTGTATATATATATATATATATATATACAGTATATAGTGTTGAGTTAGTTACTCTAAAAAAGTAATTAATTACTAGTTACTAGTAATAATTAGTTATTTTAATTATTATACTCTAACCAGTTACAAAAACATATCTTATGTTTTTTTTTCTATTTAAGGAACTACAAAAATATAAAAGTACTAAAAATTGTCTGAAAAAAAAAAACATGTCTCACCTTGCCTTGCTTTCTTAAGCCTGGACAGCTGTGTTTATGCAGTAACTACAGTAAGGTCAGGGTCTGGCTTCTTTAGTGCATAAGCCTTGAACTTTATTAACACAGAATTAGGAAAGTGGCTTTGTAATATTCAGATCAGGACCCAGCAGAATGAATTAATTCTGCTTCGCATATGAGCTCTTATCCAATATTTCTGTTTAGTAAGCAGAAGTCCTGGCTTTGACCTCCCGGCTATACATCACACGCCTGCTGGTGCTTCATGAAAGGCCAATGATTAATTAGAGAGGCATCAGATGGGGAATATGGAGACTATAAAGCTTCCTCCGATTGCCCGTTTTTATCAGGCTGTTTAATCAGAATGAGGTGTGCATGGATGAGGACGTTGCACGCTTTCATTCAGATGAGGCAATCAGTAAATCACGTCGTGTCAGACTTTAATGTTAGCGCTGATGATTCAGGCCTGATCTGAATGAGAAAAGGCTTTTTACGAGCGTTCCTCGCAGCGGGTGGGAGATGCCATCTTGCAGTATTGATATAATGGCACATTTATATTTCAAGCGATCCCTTTGGCTCATTCTTCTCTATTTCTTTCTGTCTCCCTCATCTTCCTACCCCTCTCATCTCTCAGCACGGTAGATGAAAACTCTCCGCAGAGGAAGGTAAGAGTTAAGACCAGCCGTTGTATTGCCTGCACAGAATGTCAATGAAACCACCTCAGTGTACTTTGATTGAACTCCTTGTGTTTTAAAGAGGCTATATCACAAATACTTGTTCAGAAATCACTATATTGACAATCAAACCGTGGCTTTGCTAACATATGTCAGCCCTCATTTACAGTATATATCAGTGAGAAACACTGATAGCTATCAAAAATCAGCTCATTAGAAAAACCTAACAGCGCAAGATAACTGCGTTCACAGACTTTTCTCCGAAAATTTACATGTTGTTGGCTTAAGCATAATTATTTTAAGATTGTGCAGTGTGCATGTAAATGCACTCAATGCCTTTAATATTCATCAACTCACCCTAATGACAAAAGTCATTTACATGTAGAGGTCTTAAAGGTACAGCAGAAAACAAGAGTTCAATTCTGAGGGTCAGAGAGAGGGTGAGAATTGATCATATAAAATTAAATTATGACCGTTTAATGCAAGAAACTTACTACAGAGGAAACTGTGATTTTTATATATATATATATA